TGAGTTTGGAAATGGGAAGTACAATGCCTGCACTTTAAAGGAGGGGTTTGGGGTATTGGCAGTTTGGAGGGATATGTTGTGTTCTTTATATGGTATGTTTAATGTTGTTTTGAGCACCTCTGCAAAAACAGTGATAATGTGGAGTGTGGTGAAAGTGTTGAATGATTGATAAAAGTACTTTCTTTTTGGGGATTTTCTTTCTTTTTTGGGTCACCCTGCCTCGGTGGGAGACGGCCGACTTGTTGAAAAAAAAAAAAAAATATATATATATATATTATATATATATATATATATATATTATATATTTTATATATATATATTATATATATATATATATTTTATTTTATATATATATATACAGTGGACCCCCGGTTAACGATTTTAATCCGTGCAAGAGGATAATTGTTATGCGAAATAATCGTTATGCGAATGAATTTTCCCCATAAGAAAATAATGGAAATAAAATTAATCCGTGCAAGACGCCCAAAGTATGAAAAAATTTTTTTTTTACCACATGAAATGTTAATTTTAATACACACAAACTGAAAAAGGCATGCACAATTAAATGACACAAATTTTATTAAAGATCTGGTGATGATTGAGGGGATGGGAGGGGGGGAGAGCATTATCTTTTACTGTTTAGAAGGGGAATCCCCTTCCATTAGGACTTGAGGTAGTAAGTCCTTTTCTGGGGTTATTCCCTTCTTTTTTTAATGCCACTGGGCCAGCTTCAGAGTCACTGGACTTCTTTCGCACAAGATATCTGCCCATAGTGGCCTGTACCTCTCGTTCCTTTATGACTTGCTTAAAGTGTTTCACAACATTGTCGTGTAATAATCACCAGCACGGCTTGCAATAGCTGTGTGAGGGTGATTTTCATCCATGAAGGTTTGCACTTCAAGCCACTTAGCACAGATTTCCTTTATCTTTGTAGTAGGCAACTTCTTCAATTTCTCTCTCCCTCCTCTGAACCAGTTTTCCCCAGGTCTGGCCTCTTGCTCTTGAAGTTGATCTATCAGCTCATCAGTGGTTAGTTCTTCTTGGTCCTCCTCCACCAACTCTTCACATCCTCCCACTAACCTCCAACCCCAAGGACTTTCCCAATGCCACAATGGATTCCTCAACTGGAACAGGATTCTCAGGGTTAGCCTAAAAACCCCTTCAAATCCCTTTTGTCTACACATTCTGGCCACAGTTTCTTCCAAGCAGAGTTCAAGGTCCTCTTAGTCACTTCCTCCCAAGCCTTACCTAAAAGGGTTTTACACAATTGAGGATATTAATGATCTCTCCAAAAACTCTCTTAGAGTCAGTTGAGTTTCTGAGGTCATTACAAAGCACCTTTCAAACAGAGCTTTTGTGTACAGTTTTTGAATTGAAATAACCTGCTGGTCCATGGGCTGCAGGAGAGGAGTGGTATTAGGAAAGGAAAAAAAACTTCACCTTAATGAAGCTCATGTCCCATAAAGTCGCTCTGCCACGTCTGTAGGATGACCAGGGGCATTGTCTAACACCAGGAGGCCCCTTAAGTTCTAATTTCTTTTCAGTTAGGTAATTTTTCACATTGGGGCAAATGCATGGTGTAACCCGTTATAGAAAAATTCCCTAGTGACCCCTGCCTTACTGTTTGCCCTCCACAGCACACACAAATTATCCTTGAGGACATTCTTTTGCCTGAACGCTCTGGGAGTTTCAGAGTGGGTTTCACTAATAAGGCTTCACTTTGCAATCCCCCAGTAGCATTGGCACACATCAACAAAGTAAGCCTGTCTTTCATAGGCTTATGTCCTGGGAGTGCCTTTTCCTCCTGAGTAATGTAGGTCCTGCTTGGCATTTTTCTTCCAGAACAGGCCTGTTTCATCACAATTAAACACTTGTTCAGGTTTCAGTCCTTCAGTTTCTATGTACTCCTTGAATTTCCCGCACAATATTTTTCAGCCGCTTTGTGGTCCGAACTGGCGCCTCACCATGCCTTATCACACTATGGATGCCACTACGCTTCTTAAATCTCTCAAACCAACCTTTGCTTGGCCTTAAATTCACTCACATTCACTAGTTGCGGCATTTTTTAATTAAATCCTCATGCAACTTCCTAGCCTTTTCACAATATGATCGCTTGAGAGATGCTATCTCCTGCTAGCTGTTTTTCATTTATCCACACCAATAAGAGTCTCTCAACATCTTCCATCACTTGCGATCTTTGTTTCGAAAACCACAGTTGAACCTTTGGCAAGAACAGCT